GGCTCCTGCAGGCCTTCGCACACCGCCCACACCCTGCCCCAGGGCCCAGGGAAAGCTGTGCCACTGCAATGCGCTCCACAGGAGGGCGCCGCACTCGCTGCTGCTTGCTTCGCTGGCTTTATGGGGGAACCTGTTGGCCCCAATGTCAGCTTTATCTGCAGAGCTTGCCCCAGGACAGTATGAGGAGGGCCTCGCCCACCTACTTCAGGCCTGTGGTCCCCCCCCACTTTATCAGGGGTCCTTTGTTTAACCCAGCAGCCACATGTGTGAAATAGATAGACAAGGAGGTGCGGGGGTGTTGGGGGCGGACCCCGCTGCCTGCCCGGCACTGGCTTCGCTCAGCCTCTTCTCCCCACCAGGGGGCGCAACGGAGCACAGTGTGAAAACCCTGCGGGGGACCAGCTGTGCTCCAGGCCTTGGGCAGCACCAGCAGCATCAGCGCGCTCTGATGGCTTGCTGGACATGCAAGTGCCCAGCTGGAGTGCAGTCCCCAAGCTTTCCAGAGGACGCGTTAGGCGCACTAAGGTTTGAGAAGCCAGCTGCTGACAGTTATGTGTTCCTCAGAGTCTGGCTTCCCGGAGAGGAAGCCCTATGACGAAATAGTCTGCGTGCTGGAAACTTCGGCAAAGGCAATACTCCCTCCAGGGCCGTGACAGCTCTCCAAAGCCTCCTATGCTAGAGACACTCTGCACCGGGCGATCCCAGCCCTATTTTGGCCAAATGCCCTTTCTAGAACTCTGTTGCTTCTCTCCCAGGACAGGTGGATGATGCCGGAAACAGCAGCAAGGAGGAGCCAGAATCATTGCCATGGTCCCCCCGAAGGGTCACACAGACCTCAGCAGGCCCAGAGCAGGCCAACTGGCTCCTTGGTCTGGGGATCAGAGGTCAGCCAAGGCCCCGGGGGCCCAGTGCCATGACCTAATGCTGGTTGTTTGGGGTTGAGAGCAGGGAGGGGCCTGAGCAACAGAGCATCTGTCCTTGCCTAAGTCACTCCCGAATCAGACAAGATGCCACGGTCCCAAGTTTCTGCCTTTCCTGATAGCGGAAACCATCACTGATCCCCCTTTTGATGACCTAGAAGAATGTAGTTGGGGGGGTCACCCAACTGTAGGTTGATCAGATGTATTCTAAGCTTTAGAACCTATAACCACATGCACCTCCAGACATGTGTTATTAAATTCCTTGCTTTTCCTTTGCCAAGTTCGATTACTTGTCCAGCTCAAGGACCCAGGCAGGCACAGGCTGATTTCCTTTGCACCCCACACATCTGCCCAGCCCAGACTTTGCTCAAAGCCAGGGCTGTCAGCCAAACGGAGGTCCCACAGCACAGAGAATAAACAAACGTTCATGAAGGTCTTGACCCAGCTGTTCTTCCTGCTCGGGGTGTGGCCTGTGTTTTACTAAAGCAACCGTGTCCACAAAGAACTCTCCAGAAGGATGGACGGCCAGACTCCCATGCAGACCTGCCGCATGCCCCACAGATGGGAGCAGAGTGATGTCACTGGGTTCTCAGTGGTTGTCACCAGGCACACTCTCGGGAAGACACATCCTGTCTTCCTGCCCCACTCCACCCCACCAAACTGTGCTGAGCCAAGGAGCCCTGTCAAGGGCAGGAAGCAGGGCCTCCCTGGTGGTACAACAGGGTAAAGCACCTCACTATGAAGCAATCCGCAGCCACTGCAGCAGGAGTTTGATCCCCAGCCAGGGAGTGACCCACAGGGCACAGCAGACCTCTCCTGTCTCCCCGCTGCTCCCCTCAGCAGTGTACTTCAGTCTATCTGCCTCTTCTGCTCCCCACTCTCTCGCTGATGAAGCCTCTCACCACCCCCAACCTGCACCTCCGGCCTGTACCCCACCTCTCCAGTACATAAATAAATAAACCTTGAAAAAAAAAATGGGGGGACGCAGAAAAAGCCCAGAGCCCCAGGAACTGGTGTAAACGCTCGCAATACAGTCTCCCCCGGGGCTTCCAAAGGCCTCCTTTCTGCAGGGCTCACAAACACCTCGGCAAGGAGACAAACGGGCTGGGAGGGTCAGCACCACGCCCCGCTTCCCAGTGTCCCTGAAGATCACAGTTCCCCTTGAAGCAAGATGCAGGACGAAAACATCCACCCCAAATGCATGAGTAGGGCGTTCACCTCACACACACCACACACGCTTCGCAGTTTTACAGGTTTCCCGGGTCCTTGGAAGCTTGTTGCTGGGTCTTATTCATTCTTTCAACAGTCTTCATCAAAGCCCTACCGCGAGCCTGGAGTCCAGCACTCTCTGTGCGGGATGCAGGGTGCTGGGGTTGAGAAGGAAGGGAGCAGACGCTTCCAGAGCACAGAGCCGATAGCCCTGGGGTCCTGGGTAGGGGGTGGCATCACCCCCCACAGGTGAGGGGCCTGCACAGGCTGGACCTGGTCCTGCCCCCCCAGGCCACAGCCCCTTCCCCTGGCTAAGTGTGCTCGTGCAGGCTGTGCCCACCAGCTGCAGGCTGAGCTAATGACTGTTGTCATCCTGATGAGAGGTGATTGCTGGACTGTGGCTGGCCGCCCCAGGATGACCTGTGACGCGCAGGACAGGCCCCGCCCTGCGAGCCAGCGGCAGCCCGCTGGGATCGGACACTGGCGGCAAGTGGCAGCCAGACGCAGCATGGCCTGCAGCATGGACGGTGCGAGGGGCCAGCGACACCCCTCGCGTGGCTGCGCAGTGCAAGGACGAAGAGGGGCCTGGCTGGGCTGGGTCTCAGCTCCTCTGAGCCCGAGTTTTACACGGTAAGGAAACTCAAACCGGAGGACGGCAGAAGTCCAGGGAAGATCTGGTCCGAGGATCCCAAGTGCTGGGGACATTGGGGGTGAGCTGGAGGCCTGCCGTGGGTGGGGGCCACCGACGGAGGCCACAGGGCCTCTGCAGCACCAGGTCAGGCCGTGGCTCCCGGGAGCTGGGCTTCTGCCTCAACATACTCCACAGCCACAGGCCCGGCTGGCAGCGCCGAGGCGGGGAGAGGCCCAGCCGGCGTGCAGGGCCCAGCCCGCGTGGGAAGCGAAGACGGGGGGGGGGACTGGCCTGAGTCCTGCCAGAGTGCTGGCTCGGGCTGTGTTTCCAGCCCTGAACCGGCCCATCAGACGCCCTTTAAGAAATCCTTGTGGGTGAGGGCCAGCCCAGGAGCCATTAAATACTGGAAAGGGGCACTTTGAACTCCAAAATGTCATTCCTGTGAAAATTTAATATGTAGAAAAACAAGAGAGCTTAAAAACTCCATTCTTCAGAGCAGGATAAATGGAAAAGGCAGTTCAAGTAAAAGTGTTTTCTTTAGGGGTGGAGCAACGGGGTCCTTCTCCCCTTTGGGAACCAGGATAAGCATGGCTGGCTGGCTCCCTTTCCTGGTGAAAAGTGAGACGGCCACAGGATGGCAAATCACTTTGCCTGGACACCTGGGACGAAGGTGCCCCTTGTAGCTGCTGGCCCTTCTCTCGCAGCTGAAATAACATTGCCAGTGCTGCAGGCGGTTCCAATGAGCCCCAATTACAGCCCACGTCAAATTCCTACTCTGTGCCGTCCCTTCTAATTCCGTGTCATGACACACATTTGCCAAACGGAGAGAGCCCCCCTGGAAAGGATTTGGGACTGGGGCCCTGAGAAAAGTGTGGAAAAACGTGATCCAAAAAAGGCCAGCTCTGTCCCCCGCCTCGGACAGTGACTTCATCAACAGCATACTCTAAACAAGCGGCTCCATTGCAAAAGTAACGCACGGCCCACGCTCGCCATGCCCGGTTTCAAGGACACAGAAGTATTTAGGATAAAAAATGAGCTTCTCCTTTGCAGAGCCCTCTGTCTACTGCCTTCCCCAACAGGACCACCAGTCTGAGAACGAGCCCCACATCCCCAGGAAGCTGGCCACAGAGCAAAGCAAATCAAAGGCCTTGTTCCGATTACGAACGAGCCAACATATACAGTACGTCGGTCAATAAATATTTATTAAGTTCTGGTGAAGTCCAAGAGACACAGAACCAGCGGGAAGATAGCTCTGTCCTCAGCGAAACCCACCGCTGTGGGAGCGGCTCAATGTGAAAACCAGATTTAACACAGGAAGTGTTCACGGCGCTCACATTCTCCAGCTAGCGGTGGGGCGGGCAGGCCCTGGGCGGAGAGGGGGAGCTGGACCCACGGGGGCGCACTGGGC